AGAAACTATTTTGTTCTGTAAACTTTCATGTAAAGTGAGAATAGCAGCACAACTGGAAGAGCGTGGTCGATGTCACTGAACTGTGCATGTAGAAATTTTTTGAAATGGTGTATCTTTGGCTATGTATATTTTCAACAACAATAACAAAAAAAGGTTGAGAAGGGAGAGGGTTGACATGTTGTGGGGTTGTTAACGAATGTCATGAAACAGTATGTGTACTGCTGTTTCATGAGAAACTATTTGTTCTGTAGGCCTTCACCTGAAGTACAAAAAAAAAAAAAAATTTTACTTGTGTGTGATATTAATGATACTGTTCAATAATTTCCGCATTCTGTTGCATCACTTTTCTTTGGAAAGGGTACAAATATGGATCTCTTCCACTTAGTTGGCCAGGTGGCTGTCTTCCAAATTTCTTGGCACAGACAAGTGAGGGCTTCTAGCACTGCATCTGTTTGTTGAAATATCTCAGTTGGTATTCTATCAATTCCTGAAGCCTTGTTTTTCACCAATGCTTTCAGTGCAGCTTGGACTTCTTCCTTCAGTACCATTGATTCTTGATCACCCTGAAATGGGTGAACGTTGACCAATTCTTTTTGGTATAGTGACTCTTTGTGTATTCCTTCCATCTTCTTTTGATGCTTCCTTTGTCATTTAATACTTTTCCCATAGAATCCTCAATATTGCAACTTGAGGCTTGAATTCTTTCTTCAGTTCTTTAAGCTTGAGAATGCTGAGCATGTTCTTCCCCTTTGGTTTTTTATCTCCAGGTCTTGGCACATTTCATTATAATACTTTACTTTGTCTTCTCAAGCTGCCCTCTGAAATCTTCTGTTCAGCTCTTTTACTTCATCATTTCTACCATTCGCTTTAGCTACTCTACATTCAAGAGCAACTTTCAGAGTCTCTTCTGACATCCATTTTGGTCTCTTCTTTCTTTCCTGTCTTTTTAAAGACCTCTTGCTTACTTCATGTACGATGTCCTTGATTTCATTCCACAACTTGTCTGGTCTTTGGTCATTGGTGTTCAATGTATCAAATCTGTTCTTGAGATGGTCTCTAAATTCAGGTGGGATATACTCAAGGTCTACTTTGGCTCTCGTGGACTTGTTCTAATTTTCTTCAACTTCAGCTTGAACTTGCATATGAGCAATTAATGGTCTATTCCGCAACTGGCCCGTAGCATTGTTCTGACTGATGATATAGAGCTTTTTCATCATCTCTTTCCCAGATACAGTTGCTTTGATTCCTGTGTACTCCATCATGGCGAGGTCCATGTGTATAGTTGCTGTTTACGTTGGTGAAAAAAGGCATTTTTAATGAAGAAGTCGTTGGTTTTGCAAAATGTTATCAGGTGATCTCCAGCATCGTTTCTATCATGAAGACAATGTTTTCCAACTACTGATCCTTCTTCTTTGCTTCCAACTTTTGCATTTCAATCACCAGTAATTATCAATGCATCTTGACTGTATGTTTGAGCAACTTTAGACTGCAGAAGTTGGTAACATATAATGGAATACTATATGGCAAACAAAAAAAGAACAAAACTACATCTATATGTAAAAACATAAATGGAAATCAAAGGCTTAATGTTGAGCAAGGGAAGCAAGACATAAGACAATACATACAGTATGGTTCTATTTATATAAAGTTCAAAAACAGCCAAAAAATAAGTTATTTTTTTAGAGTTGACTACATAGGTGGTAAAACTATAACAAAGAAAAAGGAAGTGATAAGCATGAAAGTCAGGATAATGAGGGGGCGTGACTGAGTCACACAAAGGGCTTGTTTTTTGATCTAGGTGGTTGATTACAAGAGTATGTATTTTGTAATTATTCCTTATACTGTATGCATTTAGGTTTATGCATTTTTCTGTATAGTGCCATTTTTCACAATAAACCCCATGGCTGTCGAGTTGATTCCAACTTACAGCAACCCTACAGGATAGAGTAGAACTGCCCCATACGGTTTCCAAGGCTATAAATGTTACGGAAGCAGACTGCCACCTCTTTCTCGGAGGAGCTGGTGGATTTGAATCGCTGACCTTTCAGTTAGAAACCAAGTGCTTAACCACTGTGCACCAGAGCTCCTTATTCACAATAAAGAAGGTTAAACTTTTTAAGGAAAAAAATCTCCCTAATGATCTAAAGTTCAGCCTTGGTTGAGGACCACTGCACTAAAGAAAGGTTAACCAGAAATATATTTGTATATAAGCTAATAAATACCCCAAATAGGAAAACATATTTAATATTCTAAATTGTTAACAGTGGAAATCTAAGAGTGGAGTGAGGGGGCTGTGTGCAATAAATTTACAGGGGCTTTTATTTTCTATGTTTTTATATATTTCTGTAATGTTTAGATTTTAAAAGAGCATGTACAGTATTATTTTTGTTATCAGAATAAAGCAATTTTTTTTTTTTTGCACCTGATCCAAGAGATGGTATTTTTTTTTTTAATTGTTGTGCTTTAAGTGAATGTTTACAATTCAAGTCAGTCTCTCATACAAAAATTTATACATACATTGTTATGTGACCTCTCCCTATACTGTGACAACACACTCCTCCTTTCTACCCCGATTTCCCGTGTCCATTCAACAAGCTCCTGACCCTCTCTGCCTTCTCATCTTGCCTCTGGATAGGAGCTGCCCAATAAAATGATAATTTTTAATAAAAGAAGATTTTAAAATATCTTTGTAAGGATACACAAAAAACTAATAAAATCAGTTGCCTCAAGAAAAGGCAACTGCCTTGGGAACAGGAACCAAAACCAAACATGTTACTGCCAAGTCGATTCTGACTCACAGCGACCCTATAGGACAGAGTAGAACCGCTCCATAGGGTTTCTAAGCAGGGGCTGGTGGATTTGAACTGCTGACCTGTTGGTTAGCAGCTGAGCTCTTTAACCACTGTGCCATCAGGGCTCCAGGAACAGGAATGGAAGGGATATTTTCATTGTACCTTTTGAATTTTGAATCTGTGTGAAAGTATTACCTATTAAAATTTTTATTTAAAATAAGAAGCAGAATATTTATCACCAGCAGCTTTTCCCAGAGCCACTGCTATGGAAATACACATTAGCAGTCTTTGAAATTGGCCCAAGAGAATCCCCTTATCATCAGGTTCTGCTACATGCCACTTCCCACTAGCATGGCATTGAGACATCAACCATGTAGAAAAACGAGCTATCCTCTCAGAAGGGGACTCACATTTTACACATGAGAGGTGGCATGCTTGTCATTGCCCTCTGCCTAAATCTGAGTCCATCATACTTACTAGACAGCAAAACAAACTCTTTCTCTGTACTTAGGCTGCTATAGTGGGGTAGTAAAGAAAGAAGAGTTACCTCTAAAAGGAACTCCACACTAGCCACCTGAAGCTCTTGAAGTCCCACTATCTGTACCACGTGCTTGCTATCTTCTCTTGCGAAGAGCCTGCAGATGCAAGAACACAGTTGGTATGGCGGAGCTGCTGTAATGGACTTTGTTTTTGCCTCCCCTAAAACCATTCCACCACTTCCCCAATAAGTAGCCGCTTTGCTGTTCGGGTAGGATTGATGTACACCACACCTCCTGCCCCCTGCCCCTGGTTTCAGGGGTTGTCCCTGATTTTGTAAGCAAATCAGCATATTTGGCTACAATTAAAAGAATGAGCACATAACCCAGACCCATACCAATCAGTGGTGATGTACTCCTGGCTAGTGATTGGTTCAGGGGTGGATAGGGGACCTCTGCTGATCAAATCATAATGAGGTTCTGGATCCTGTTAAGTCCTTGGGGGAGAGGTGCTCTCCCTTTCTTTCTGGAAGTGAACGCATGTGGTCTCAGGAGCAGACATTTTGCATCCACAAAGATAGCCAGTTTCAGAATGAAGTTAACTCCGTAGAAAGTAGAGCAGAGAGGTGCAAAGAATGGGTCCTTATAACATCCCTGAGTTGCTGAAGTAAACTGAGCCTGAAACCTAACAGTTCTATAGGCTTTCTGATGATATGAGTTGATGATTTCTCTAGATGCTTAAGCCAGCATAAGTGGGGTTTTCTTTTACTTGCAACATAAGGAGTTCTGACACATCTTGCTAAGTGAGCAAGGAAGAGCTGGTGCTGAAACTGAATGCCTCGGGTCTACGTGTAAGGTAATGAATAGTTATGGTCTACCAATCAAAAATCCATTGCTGTCAAGTCGTTTCCGACTCATAGCAACCCTATACGACAGAGGAAAACTGCCCCATAGAGTTTCCAAGGCTGTAAATCTTTACAGACACACATCTTTCTCCCATGGAGCAGGTGGGTTCAAACCACTGACATTTTGGTTAACAGATGAGCACTTTAACCACTGCACCGCCAGGGTTCCTCTCTATGGTCAACCATCATCATTAAATCAGATGTGCCAAGGGGGCATGTGTTGACTCTTATCAAAGAATCTAAGATTCTTTTTCCTCCTTAATAAGATACTGATAACGTTAAGAGTGGAATCCCACTTCATAGCAGAAAAAGGAAATAATTTTCTTAAAGAAATTTTTTTCTAAGTTTATGCTCAACTCAAGTTTCCAATTTTTTACAGAACGGTTGGAAGAAAACAGCCTCACCAATGCACATGACCTCTCAGAAAACAACTCTATTAGAACAGTCAGGCTTCTAGAATAAAAGTCTAGCTTTCAGAACCCTCATGTCACTCCTGAACATACTTCCCAGGCCCTATGCCCTGCGATCACCCAAGAAAGGTTTCTAAACGGACAGCCCAAGATGTACTGCTAGATTTTTAAATCCTGCAAGCAATGAGTACATTTCTATCACTTTTTATGCAAGGGTATAAAACAACTTATCACCTACTTTTAGGAGTTAATTTGAAGATCCTGGTTTCCAGTTTAAGAGGTAGACTCAGCATATATACACTTCTGTCCATCCCCATCAAAGCCCCACTATTATTATAGAAAATGTATTTAATTAAAAAAAAAGAAAAACAAGATAAACTGTCGCAGCTCTAAAAACACAGAAAAGGGTGCCATCAGTGGAAGAGAATGTTTCAGAAGTTCCAGAAAGGGACAAAGGAAGCAAAAATATCATACTAACCAATTAACCAGAGACATTAAAAAATAACAAAAACAAAAAACAAACGAGCAAAAAAAGTGACAGCCTAAGACACTTGCAGAGTAAGTGTGGGTCTTCCCTAAAGAGCCTCAAGAAAGCTTCAAACCAAGGAGTTGTCATATTCCCATCCTCCCGTACAATTAAGGAAGCAAATATACAGGGCAATATACAAGGCAATAATCAAGGCAATTCATTAAAGAATTCATTAAAGAAGAATATCCTGACTGCTCCTTCACCCAAACAAACAAAACAAACATATATACAGTACAACAGTGGCTTTTATTCTCATGCCAACTGTCTCTAAATGAAGTGAGCATTCTGACGGAAAAGAGCTCCTAATGAGGGTGTTAGGGCTTGGAAGAGAAGCTGTGATTGAAACTCGGGGCCTCAACAGCAACCTGGAGAGGGAAAAGAAGAAAGGCAACTCTGCGTCAAACCATCCCTAGAGTAAGCACCCTCCTTTATTTGGCAGTTGTTGGATCAGGACTGAACCCTGAATAGCTGTACAGTCTCTGAATTGCAGCACATTCAAAGGGCCTGTTTTCATTGGAACAGTCCACAAGATAGTGGCCTGGCTAAACCCACTCACTGGCTTAAGTTATGCTACTCAATACTCTAGTGCCCCTCTACAATGAGGGCCTGCCGTATCATGCTCCCCCTATTGAACTGGTCTTGCTCCCAACTCTTGGCATCATTCCAGTGCTTACCTGGAGCTCACTGAGCTTGTACATCCTTCTGGACAGCTCCACAGAGGGTTGAATATCTTTTTAGGGTGGCTAGTTTCTTTAGCTGACTTGGCTTCCCCAGTCTTCCATCATGCTTAGCCTCAATTCACTCCCTTCCACCTGTTATGGCTGCTCCCAACATGTCTGTTAATTCTGTTATGACAAACCTTTTATCCTTCCACCTCTCCTACTCCCTCTCCCCACCCTATTCTCCCAATCAATTGATCCCTTCACAACTTTGTAGTCTCCTCCTCAGTTTAAGTCATCTGTTTCAACCTAAACAAAACTTTATGCCAGAAAAATAAAATAGAGATTTAAAAGCAGAGTTACTGAATACATTTCTAAATTACTGTATTATGTTGTAAGGGCAATAGTTTCTGTCTTATAAGGGCTAAAGTCTAATGTGAAGAAAAGAAATCTGCTTTTCTTTTTACTGATTTCAGAAAACTGTGTTAAGTTTACCCTAAGATTATTGAGAGGAAAAACAAGAGAAAGTGGGAAACATTATTTATAGTTTTTCCAGCGTAATAATAAGTCAAAAGAATATGAAAGAATTTAAGTACATGTTGATTTCCTGACTTCTTGAAATTATGACCTTTTTCATAGACCAAAAGAAGACTTTTGATAGATACAGGATATTAATCACTTATGAAATACTAACAGAAGTCTAATTTACATTTTTCTCGAGCTGAATTAACAGTTTTAAAAAATATGCATCTGATGCCAGAGACTGTCATTTCACAACAGGGCCTTAATGTACTAAGATCTCTCATTAAATCCCATGATTCAGTGATTTGTGAGACTCTGGCTTAAAACAATGGTGAACAGATTTACAGTTTGCCACTCATATCCAGTACCTTTTTCTTCGATTTAGGAGGTCATAAAGCTGTCCACAGTAGATTTCATAGAAACTGATCCACACAAAGAGGCGCTTTCTTGGCTGGGACACTTCTAGTTGTCTGAAGATATCTTTGGCAGCCAGAGCATACAGTCCTGGGTTCTGATGAGTTCCTATCATGGTGTAGGTCTTTCCAGCGCCTGTCTGTCCATATGCAAAGCAAGTAGCATTGCCTCTAGGGAAAGAATCACTTGTATCACTTGTGCATATTAAGAGAAGTCTAATTTACACATAAATTTTTAATGACAAAAGTCAGGTAGAAGCATACAATCCTTGGCAAAATTAGTTATAAACTTATAATCCTTTAAGAGAAGGGCTTTACATTATAAAAACGTAGGAAGAGGAAAAAACATTCTCAAAGCAGGACATGGGTTTTCTCACAGAAATTTTTTACAGGACTGGTTAAGTCCATACTAGAACTCTGGAAGATAAGGAAACAAGGACTTTCAAGAAACCACTTAGCCAACAGGCGTTTATCAAGTTCCTACCCCATGCTAGCTGCTTTAGGGGATTCTAGAGAAAATTTGATCTTAAGTCTGAAAGATAAGGTTTATGAAAGAAGTAATAGAGAATTAAGATAAATACCATAAAGAACAGGAAATCATATGATAAACAGGATGGTAGTTACTACTCATATGGATATTACGGAAGTTCAGACAAAGGTAAAATCAATATAAGCAAAGTTTTTGAGAAAGGATTTACAAAAGAATTAGGGAATTAGGCTGTGTCCTGAAGGCAGAAGCTGAGAAGGCAGACAGCCTTCCCTGTGGTAGGAATAGCACGAGCAGAGGCCACTGCAGGAGAGGTGGTGGCAGCCATGCAAAATCTGGAGGTAAGAAATCTGGGTTCTGGACTCAGTCCTGCCATTAACTAACTACATGACCTCGGCAAATCACTTTTCTTCTCTCGGGGCCTGAGTTTTTCACATCAGTAAATTAACAGATCTGAGATTACTTGATTTCTAAGATCCCTCTAGCCCTAGTATCTTATGACTCTGAGAATCACTATTCACATGTGTGCATACGTGTATGTGCAGCGTCCTGTATGAGTTGAAGAAAAATTAGAGTAACAGATGGAGAGGAGAGTTGGGAGATCAACCTGCTGATCACAGTATGTTTTAGGATGACTTGGAGTTCAAGGTCACTTGAGTATTGGGGGGGTCCAACTATGCAGTGTTAAGTAGAGAGGAAACATAGCGTTAAGTAGTAAGTAGCTACTGCAGACCCTTGAAAATGAACTGCATGAGTTGATGATAAAAGTAGCTACCTGCAGCAATACAAAAAGTATAATTATGGATGGGAGCGGAGGGAGGCTGGAAGTGAGCAGACGGATGAGAATGTAGAAAGGGATCTGTTGTTAAGAACGTACACAGCAAATATACACCAATTCAACAGTTTCTACATGTACATTTTAGTGATACTGATTACATTCTTCAAGTTGTGCCACCATTCTCACCCTCCTTTTCTGAGTTGCTCCTCCCTCATTAACATAAACTCACTGCCTCCTGAGTTTCCTATCTAATCGTTCCAGTTGCTGCTGTCAGTTTAATTCCATATAGATAGATCTAAAAAGATGCTCAAGGCAGACCTTTTTTTTACAGGTTAAGCTAAACTACTGTTTGGTTTTAAGGAGACTCCAGGGGTTATTTTTGGTTTAAAGATTATCTCAGGGTAATAATTTTGGGAGTTCACCTGCCCTTCATGGCCCCAGAAAGTCTCGAATTCATGTGAATTTGAAATTCTGTTCTGCATTTTCCCCTTTTGGATCAGGATTCTTCTATGGAATTTTTAATCAAATGTTCAGTAATGGTAGCCAAGCACCATCCAGTTCTTCTGTTCTCGTGGAAAAGGGGCCAGTTGTTCATGGAGGCAATTAGCCAGACTATTCCTAGTCTTTTGAACCCTGGCTCCCAGCAATGTGGGTACTTAAATACACTGGCAGAGGCACTGTAAGGAAAAACGATCACTGGAGGAAAATTTGAACAAACTGAAGAAGATCCAGCAGAGTGAGAGTAAAGATTTTCCAAAATACTATCTTACCTTCTGAACATTTTAGAGATGAGCTTTTTTTATAAAACAACAAATATGGGTATTAAAAAATTTCTTATTACACTTTACAGAATGGAGGCACTTAACTTGCAACTCTTTTATTTTTTATTGCTAAAGTTCTAACATTCAAATTCTAGCTTATTTTAGAAACCTGCTCTCTCAAGAAAGCACTCCCTAGACTTGGTGCATAGGAAATTCAGATCTGAAAGATATTTCACTTTTTTAGTTTGCTCATAACAAAAGTGTTTTTAAAATATTCAAGAACTTCTACAAAACAACAATAAAAAGACAACACAAAAAATGGGCAAATGAAGATATTTGAATGGCCAATAAGCACATGAAAAGGAGCTCAATATCATTAGTCATCAGGGAAATCCAAATTAAAACCACAATGATATACTATTTCATAAGCATTAGATTGGCTAAAATAAAAAAGACTGACAATTCTCACTCATTGCTGTTGGGACTATAAAATGGTCCAACCACTTTGGAAAATTGTTTGATACTTTCTTATAAACATACACCTATCCTATGACCCAGCAATTCCACTTTTAGGTTTTTACACAAGATAAATGAAAACATGTTCACAAAAAGACTTGTATGAGAATGTTTATGTAGCTTTGTCTTAGTTATCCTGTGCTAAGAAATACCACAAGTGGGTGGGTGGCTTTAACAAACAAAAACTTATTTTCTAACAGTTTACGAGGCTAGAAGTCCAAATTCAGGGTGTCAGCTCTAGGGGAAGGTGTTCTCTCTGTCCCTGTCTCTTCAGAGCTTCTGCTCCTAGGCAATCTTCATGTGGTTTGGCATCTCTCTTCCCCCATCTCTGCTTCTTTTGCTTGCTTGTTTAATCTTTTTAATATCTTAAAAGAGACTAAATTAAGACTCACTCTACACTAATCCTGTCTTATTAAACATAACAAAGAAAACCCATTCCCAAATGGGATTATAACCACAGATATAGGTGTTAAGATTTACAACACACATTTTTGGGGGGACACAATTCAATCCATAACAAGCTTCATTTATAATAGTCCAAAACTGAAACAACTCAAATGTCCACCAACAGGAGAATGGATAAATAAAGTGTGGCATATTCATACAGGAGCCCTGGTGGCACAGTGGTTAAGTGTTCAGCTGCTAACCAAAGGGTCGGTGGTTTGAAACCCACCAGCCACTCCACAGAAGAAAGATGTGGCAGTCTGCTTCCACGAAGATTTACAGTCTTGGAAACCCTCTGGGGCAGTTCTACTCTGTCCTATAGGGTCACTATGAGTCAGAATCGACTCAACGGCAATGGGTTTTTTGGTTTATATTCACACAAGGGTATATTACTCAGCAGTAAAAAACTATGGATACAAGTAGCAACACGTATTAATAACAAAACCATTATGCTAATGTCACTGAACTGTACATGTGAAGACTGTTGAAATGGTAAATGTTTTGTTACCTATATATTTATGACACACACATGACAGAAAGAACTACAAAATAATAATGTTAAGCAAAAGACTCCAGATATAAGAGAATATACATTATAATGATTCCATTTGTATGAAATTCTAGAACAGACAAAACTAATCTATAGTGACAGAAAGCAGATTAGTAGTTACATAAGACCTGAGGATGGAGGTAGGGAATTAACTAAAAAAGGGACATAAGAGAAACTTTCTGGGATGATGGAACTGTTCTATACCTTGTTTTGGGGATTGGTTACTCGAATATATGCAACTATCAAAACTCATCGAACCTGAATACTTAAGATCTATGCATCTTATTGTATGTAAATTATACCTCAATTTTTAAAAAAGTTATTTAAAAAAAAGAAAGTAAAATCATCCCAGAGATCCCGCTTATGTGAAATATCTACAATAGGCAAATGCAGAAAGTAGATTAGTAGTTACCACGGGCTAGGGGAGGGAGCAATGGGAGTTATTGTTTAATGGGTATAGTTTCTATTTGGGGTGATTAAAAAATTTTGGAAACAAATAGTGATGATGCTTGCATAGCATGGTGAATATAATTAATGTCACTGAATTGTACACTTAAAAATGGTTAAAATGCCAAATTTTATGCACTATTTTACTACAATACAAACAAACAAAAAAAACCCCAGAATCAGTGACTCTAGCAGGCTGTTGGGCATTTTCAACCTATACATGACAACATTTTAAATACACAACAGAGGGTCTCTTATATGTTTCTGTTCCATTTAATGTTTACCAAATCTGAATAGTAATTTCAAAATTTTAAAAATACATCTATGAAAAGCTGATAACTGATATTCACTTATCTACCCTATTCCAACAAAAAAAATTAACTGAACTAGAGCCAGAATAGATAATTCCTATTATAAGGAATTCAGATTATCTACAACCACTTAAACCTTTTTATAATGAGGACTCTGATGGAACTATATTGTTGACAGTTTATATTTTTTTCACGAAGCACAGAGAATCAATACCATCAATGTAAAAGGAAATTTTGCTGCAAATTTCTGAATGCTTGGTAAATCCTATAGAGACACTGTACTTTTCAGGAGTCTAATTTAAATTCATTAGAGCAAAACACAAGGTCATGTCTAATTTAAAAGAACTAAAAAGCATAAGTGATATTAATGATTTATGGAAAAAAGAAAATAAGCAAGAGAAGCAAATAATTACTATCGTACCCATTGAAAATATGCTGAATGAGTGGGTGAGTAGTCTTCATGTATACATCCTGATTGGTGCACGCCTCACCAAAGACTTCATCAAAATAAAAAACATGCTGAAAAATAAATTTGATTTTTATAGAAAGAGACATCTGGATTTCCTTCACCACTTTTCTAGTTAATACATGATAAAGGTGCAAATACATTTTTAACTGACAGTAACTGATCATGACAAACTTAGAGATAAATAAGCGATCAATCACTGCCAAATGGAAAGGCCTCCTGTTATTCGGGAGCTCTAGTGGCACAGTGGTTACATGCTCAGCTGTTAACCAAAGGTTCAGTGCTTCAAACCTACCAGCTGCTCTGCGGGAGAAAGATGTGGCAGTTTCTTCCCGTAAAGATTTACAGTCTTGGAAACCCTACGGGCAGTTCTACTCTGTCCTACAGGGTTGCTATGAGTCGGAATCGACTCGATGGCAGCAAGTTTTGGTTCTTTTATTCGAGATCTCTGTGGACATGTTTTTACAATGCAAAAACTAAGGGCACACAATTTTTGTTCTCTCAAGTGACATAAATTGATGAGTGCACGGGTGAGCCAATCCTCTTCAGGCTCAGAAGAGAAGAACTGAATTCAATGGAGTTTATCCTCGTAGCCTGGCTAGGGACAGCACATTTGAAACATCCTAGGGGGAAATCTTGATTCCATAGGTTACATACCTTAACTTTTAATTCCATAAACATTTATTACTCAGCTGGTACCATGCCTATTGCAGAAGGCACTTCAAGGCGCACAAAGATACAGATATTACTATTATTCTACCCCTCTACCTAGATGTATGAATCTAGACAAGAATACAAAAAGTAGAATTTTAAGAGATAAAGTACACATGGAATTAAAAGGAGAAGCATATTCCCTTTGATTGGGAAAGACATTATGAAAGAGACTGTACTGAGAATGGGCCATGGGATAAGAGGAGGATTTTGAGAGGTAGGGATGGAGAAGGAAGGTATTCCAGGAAGGTGGGAAGCATATGCAAAAGGTCAAAGCAGGAACGCACAAGGAATGTTTAGGAACAGGGCGAATACAATGTGGTTGAAACGCAGGATCTTCATAGGTAAAAAAGTACGACTTAAGGCTAGAATAATGAGTTGGGGCTATGTTGTAGGTGTCTTGGGACACTGGACTTAAGGGAAGGGATAAGCATTCACATCTAATTCAGTAAACAGTGGAGACACAGTTAAGGACTTTGCAAAGGAAAGGGATGATCTGAGCCATCTTACCGGAAGAGTAATCTGGCTATACACTGTGAATAGACCGGGAACAGCGCCACTAGCAATCCACTGGTGAGATTAGAAGGGTCAAAATTAGATGATGGCAATGGAAATAAAGAGAAAATGGATGCACGAGAAATTTGGCAACTGACTGGATGCGGGGAGCTGGCAGAGAAAGGAGTCCAAGATGATTCCTAAGTGAAAAACCATGGTAACCTGGAGAAGGGGAGACAGGAGGTAGGTCTGGAAGGCATTAATTCAGTAGCAATAATTATTTACATAATTTAGAAGCTTACCGTCTTGGCAGCCCAACTACATCTGAGTAAGAAATCCTAATAATTTCAAGCTTGATTGCAGCATAACAGTGGCAGTCCATACACAATGAATGAGAGAGGAGGCACTATCCTCTGCCATTTTTGAGGCTTGCTCAAATTATCCATTGAAGGAAAAATTGTGTGGGCAGATGAGAATACTGGACTTGGGCCAATTTACTGTGGATCACTCTACCCCAGGTTTGATTCTGTGTCCCATTACATTACATTGGAATGGAAATCTTTTAAGTCATCTGAGAAGAAATTGGCGTCACAAAGCCGAATTTATCAGTCAGAAAAAAATCTCCAAAAGTTAGGAGGTGTGAAAATAATGAATCTTCACAGAATTATAAAGAGATCTGTGAATGTTTAGTGCTTTGAAAAATGTGATATGATTTTTAAGAACACTAAAATGTTAACAACTGTTGAAGCTGGGTGATGGGTACATGTATACTTTTGATTAGGCTTGAAAATGTCAATAATAGAGTTAAGTAAAGAGTTAAATATATTTGTAAAATCTGGACTTAATGAATATGATTTATATTTAACTCATAACTAGTCTCTTAACAAGGAGGCAAATTCATTCACTACTCAAACACCACCACAGGTTTTGTATGAGATCAAAACAAAAAAAAATAGATAGATAGATAGGAGTCCTGGTGGCAGTGGCTAAGTGTTCAGCTGCTAACCAAAAGGTCAGCAGTTCAAACCTACCAGGCACTCTGTGGGAGAAAGACTTGGCAGTCTGTTTCCGTAAAGATTACAGCCTTGGAAACCCTATAGGGCAGTTCTACTCTGTCCTATGGGGTCACTATGAATGGGAATCAACTTGACAACAACAGGTTTAAGGAGCCCTGGTGGTACAATGGTTAAGTACTCAGCTGCTAACTAACCAAAATGTTGGTGGCTCAAACCCACCAGTCACTCCGCAGGAGAAAAGACCTGGCAATCTGCTTCCATAAAGATTACAGCCTAGGAAGCCCTGTAGGACAGTTCTCCTCTGCCACATTGGGCCATTATGAGTCGGAATCAACTCAACAGCACACAACAACATGTGTGTGTGTATATATATACATATATATACACATACATACATATATATATCTATATACATAAGTGCTTGTGAATAACTTTAGCTCTGGAGTAAATGCCTTAGAAAGCACTTATTGATGAAAGGAATTAGTATCTTTCCTTCCAAAAGAATATATTGGTTTCTCTGGTACTTTTGTAAGTACCTTTCATGAAAGATATGTGAACATGCAAGATTATCACTATAATTAACATCAGTATACAATTCAAAGCCCTTTGCATTACATACTTTCATTTAATCAAACTTTAACAATAGGGTTGGATTAACACCTACTTTGAACCTCACTTTAGCCTTGATATGATCAGAGTTTCATAGTTTATTTTTTAAATAGGTTTTTTTCAGATTATAAAAGTAATATGCATTTATAGACTATCTCTGGAAAGATGCACATGGAATAGGTAACACTGTTGCCTTCAAGGAGGGAATGGGATTGGGGGAGGGTTTTCACTGCATACCGTTTTGTACCTTTTGATTTTGAAATACACAAATCTACCCTATTCAAAATTCTAAAAAATTTTAAATAAACTTAACATAGCTCATTGTAGGAAATTTTAAAAATACTGAAAACGATAAAGAAAACTAAATTATCTGTAAATCCCATTACCAGAGATAGCCACTGTTAACTTTTTTAGGTATTTCAACACAATCTTCTTTCTCTGCTTGAGAAATCGGAATGAAACTTATACACAACGCACCACATAACATCTGTTCGGGCAACATCCGACCACATTTACGTCTGTGGTCCCATAAATTTATAATAGAGTTCAGGAATCCCAATTTGAGAACAGGACATAGTGTATACAGGCAGTCCCCAGGTTATGAATAAGATCCGTTCCTAAATCTGTCTTTAAGTCGAATTTGTAGGTAAGTTGGAACAGGTACATACATACAGTTTTTATTTAGCATCAGTTAGTCAAATGTTTGTCATAATAATATAGAGTATATATTTTACCTTTCTATGCATATAAACTCATACTCCTAGCGGTTGCTATGAGCTGGAATCGACTTGAAGGCAGCGGGTACACATATAAAACACTTTAACACTTTCAAACAGTGCAATGTTTTCATGAACGTCACAAAGTACTGCGTGCATTCGTTATTACGAATCATTGTACTTAACTCAAATTTGTAATATAATAGGCTTTATGGCAGTCCATTCTTAAGTATGAGGTGTCCATAAATTGGATGTTTGTAACCTGGGACTGCCTGCAATATCGTCTTTGCACAACGTCCAAATCACATAACGTCCTATTTTATGAAATGTATCGTGGACGTTAAGCGATGCATGACTGTATACAGTTTTTTTGCTTATTATGTTGCTATCATAAAATTTAATAGAAAAGTTTGAAAATGAATAGTGGTGATTATACAGCACGATAAACATAATGTCACTGAATTGTATATATAAAAAAGTTGAAGTGGCAAATGTTTAGTTTTATATATATGTATGTATATACATACACACATATATATACACAAATACACATATACACTTACCACAATAAAAAAAATTCAGTGGTAAGTAGGATAGGACACTATGTGTACATGATCATATTTACTAAGTAACAAAGGAAGATTTGAAAGGACGAGAAAATTTATTTAAACAGACATACAGCTTATTGTTTTAAATCCCTGAATAAATCTAAAAATAAAATCCAAAGAGGCTAAGATGAATATTTATTTAGCACCCACTTTGCTGTGAGTCTACATTTTCTTCTTTCTCTTTAAGAAAGGAAAGAGAGGGAAAGCAAAAAAACAAAAGCCCTCCCAATACTTTTATATTATAGCATTGACAGGTAAGGACTTTGACCTATGAGCACAAAGGTCCAAAGTTCAAGCAGCAGAAAAAGTGCTATGGAAACTATGGGTATTCAATAAATATTGACCAATGGTAGTGACAAAGAAGTAAGGTTATTGTGTTTGGAGATAATGGTAAAATGCAAAAGATAAGATGATGCCTCCTTGAGGGAATTACTGTGACAGAAGCTCATTAAGGAAGTCTTGGGTAGATGGTGATTGGATAGGGCTATGACTGTGGCTTTAAGTAGCCATGGAACTAGATAGCACTACAACTAATTGGTCCTTTAGACTATCTTCAAAATAAATATCACCCACCAAGACCTAATAGATTGTACACTGATAAGCTGTTAAAGTGATTGGGTTGGTTGTACAGTGGCCTAGTAATTTAGTGCCCATGGAAAGACTCAGTGGATTACTTTGAAATCTAATTTTAGTAATCAAAGAAAAAGAATAACAATGCAAGTTTGGGGGGGTGGGGCAGGCTCAACAATTTGACTTCAGTGTTAAAGGATTTATTCCATTAGAATAAGACCTCACTTGACTAAAGTGAATTGCTGTCACACCAGATGACTCACTGCTTTTCTTCTACCAGTCATTGGGTTTTGAGGCAAGAGAGCAAAAGAGAGAGAATGAGAATGAATATAATGTGAATGTTTAAGGAGGCAGATTCAGAGTAAGAGAAACTCTGAATTCCCAAGTCTTTAACATCTAATGGATTATCCTGTTTTAATTACTCCCAATTGTTTCACAATTTCAGAGATACCTAAACTGTGATATTTTCCATCTGTGGCGTTTGCTACTTCTATATATGACTGGAGAGCTATTACACAGTATACCTATCGACCTGGAATAAATTCTTTCTTTCAATGCTAAACCCTTTCTCCTTGGACTCTTCATGATCACTCTGGCAGGCAATGAACATTTTTTACATGTCTGAGCCACTAGAGTTTTATTTAAACCCTGGAGTAGTGGTTAAGAGCTACAGTTGCACAACTGGACTAAACCAAATCTAAGAAGTTTCCTGAATACAATCAAACACTTCGAGGGACAGAGTAGCAGGGGTAGGGGTCTGGGGACTATGCTTTCAGGGAACATCTAGGTCAACTGGCATAACAAAGCTTATTAAGAAAATGTTCTGCACCCTACTTTGGTGAGTGGCGTCTGGGGTCTTAAAACTTGCAAGCGGCCATCTAAGATGCATCAGTTGGTCCCAACCACCCGGAGTAAAGGAGAATGAAGAACACCAAAGACACAAGGAAAGTATTAGCCCAAGAGACAGAAAGGGCCACATAAACCAGAGACTTCATCAGCCTGAGACCAGAAGAACTAGATGGTGCCCGGCTACCGCCAATGACTGCCCTGACAGGGAACACAAAAGAGAGTCCCTGATGAAGCAGGAGAAAGGTGGGGTGCAGAACTCAAATTCTAGTAAGAAGACCAGACTTAATGGTCTGACTGAGACTGGTGGAACCCCAGAAAGCATGGCCCCTGGATTCTCTATCAGCCTAGGACTAAAACAATTTCCAAGGCCAACTCTTCAGACAAGGATTGGACTGGACTGTGGGACATAAAGTGATACTCGTGAGGAGTGTGCCTCTTAGCTCAAGAAGATACAAGAGAGAACACAGAGAGGGTTAGGAGCTGGTTGAATGGACATGGGGAATCAGGGGTGGAAAGGAGGAGTATGCTGTCACAGTATGAGGAGAGCAATTAGAGTCACATAACAATGCATGTATAAATTTTTGTATGGGAGAAAATAAAGAAATTTAATAAAAATAAAATTAAAAAAAAAAAAGAGCTACAGCTGCTAACCAAAAGGTCAGCAGTTTGAATCCACTAGGCACTCCCTGGAAACCCTATGGGACAGTTCTACTGTGTCCTATAGGGTCGCTATGAGTCAAAATTGACTCAACAGCAATGGGTTTGGTTTATGGGTATATAAGATGTGAAATCATATCCCTGCCCATTCATAGGGGTCTGCTCAGAGCCCAGTCTCACCAAATTAAGCATAAACCCAAAAGAGTTGAGAATCAGAATAAACTGACTGGCTGTCAATCTGGGATCTTGTTGCTTGAAAATATATCCTTCACATTTAAACTCGAGACTCATACTCAGCAAAATGAGAAGTTTTCATGTGAGAGGCAGGTGAGAACTGAGACTGTGTGACCATCTCATAGTCACTCTGGGGCATATGCTCACTGACTGGTCCTGCCCACCAGCAGTTCATTATTTAAATTCTTTTTGTTCCCTCATTTCCCTCTTTTTTTGCTGAATATGTATAATCAAATTCTCGTAGAGTGTTAAATGATTGCAAGATGTAACTCCATTGCACAAGAGAGGAGGAATTATGTCTTTGTATCCCCTGTTGCACCATATTAAAAAAAAAAAAAAATTAAGGCCCAGAGTATCAACAATTTAACACAATGTCACATTAGGAATAAATGCCAACACCCAAATCAGAAACTAGATTTCAGAATTTGGATGCTACCACTCAAAACAAAAAGCAAAACATTGACATACTTGATAACGTTAGTTCTAAACACAAAAAGGAAGCATCATACCTGCAGAATATATTGTGTGAGGTCAACTGCTTCTTTCTTCTCATGTACAAGCAAGGTTTCTTTGTCTTCTACGGTAATAATATTAATTTCTCCACGACGTAACTCCCTCACACCCAGAGGGCGTTTTCGAACACAAACTCTGATTTTCTCCATTTCAGTCCAAGGATTCTCTTTCTCTGAGGTATTCTGTCTGATATATGTTTATAAATGGGCTTTAATTTTTAAAGGTTACTTACGAGGTCAAAGTAGCAGTATATTTTGTTATATATTAGGCATGATATATTTTTAAAAGTTACATATTAAAGTGCCGACAGTGAGAAAGTTCTTTTATTAGCTGAATTCTCCTGATTACTCTCATCTCCATCCCCACCCACCACTTGCACTGCAGAAAAAAAACAAAAAAAACAAAAAAACCTAGGAGTTGCTTTAGCTCCAAGGCTGTGTTTGGCTTTCAGATATGGTCTTCTGAAGGGTTTCTAAAGTGGATGCTCTTTCTTTACATCCCTAAAATGCAGGATCCCTCGTGGCACAGTGGTTAAGCGCTCAGCTGCTAACCAAAAGGTTGGTGGTTCGAACCCACTAGACGCTCCAAGGGAGACAGATGTGGCAGTATGCTTCTGTAAAGATTACAGCCTTGGAAACCCCATGGGGCAGTTCTACTCGGTCCTATAGGATCACTATGAGTTGGAATCAACTCGATGGTAACAGGGGTAAAATGCAGGCTGATTAATTCTCAAAATCTAATGCAATATGCTGTTTAGATATATCTCTATCTCTATATCTGCTTAGATATATCTAAGAACTGACTACTTACCTACATAGGAAATACTCTAAAGTTAGGTAACAAGAAAATAGGGTTCTTGAAAGCAGGTGTTTTATCAGGATCAATGCCTTTGGTCCATGTACTCAGAATATCTTAGCAAGACAAATTAGTCCCTTCCTTTACACTTTAGAATTTGATTGATAGTCTCTAAAAAGCCTTTTATAATAGATTTTACACAGGATACTACACTATATAATTGTTTCATATTGATCCCAATTTTCTGATCCCTCCAACTGGCTGGAAAATTATTTTTTGCCAGGATATAAACTGGTGAAAAGTAGCAAACGAAATTTCTAATACAATGCATAAAGCACAATCCAAGCCTTTTAAAGCATGTTTTGCTTTTAAACCAACGTATAGCAGACTTTTAAAAATGTATCATTTTGAGGTAAGTGTGGCAAACTCTTGACAATCGTTAAAACAGGATGATGAGCATATGGGGATTCATTGTTTTATCCTCTCTTTTGCATGTTTGATTTTTCACATTAAAAAAGAAAAACTTAATTCATCATTTTAACAAGTGGCTTAGTACCAAAATCTCTACTTGTTGGTGAGTATGAATAACCTAATCATATAAAGCTAATCAAAGAGGACAGAAAAATGTTTAAACCCATTGCTGTTGATTCCAACTCATATCGACCCTACAGGACAGAGTAGAACTGCCCCACAAGTTTTCCAAGGCTGTGATTTTTACAGAGGCAGAGGGCCACGTCTTTCTCCCACGGAGCAGCTGGTGGGTTTCAACCGCCGACCTTTTGGTTAGCAGCTGAGAATTTAACCACTGCACCACCAGGGATCAGAAAATGTGTAGTCCTTTTTAAAATTGTCCAGGGACTAGAGGATGAGTCACATGGACAAAAGGCCTATAGTTTTCAAGTTCAAGATCTTAAGTAAATCAGGACAACCAGTTCTCTAAATGCCTTAGACTTTTATTAAAATTCTAAGCCCTGCCCCCAACTAAAAACAAAAAAACAAAAAACTAAGGTCAGTGATTTATTTGAAACTTTTGGAATATTTACTGAAAAGTAAAAGCTTTATTTGAGGTAGACAGAGAATGCACTTTGGATAGGATGACTCCCTAACAGCAAGTCTTAAGTTGATGAGGGTGTTTCTAGGGTTCTGAAACTCTGACTCCTGCTTGGGGTTTGTGTGAGAAGACAATATTGAAGATGATCGGGGGAGGTGTGTTTTGTTTCCTCCACTTGTCTAATATAATAAAGAACGGGGGCGTAATGAAATGATAATGATATAAAAGGTTAGAAAACTCAACTGAACAGTCTTGCTTGTGTTTGTCATGTATAAACCTCTGTAACAGTACTTACCTCACCATATGGAAATCATTTGTTTCTGTCTTCCCCCTTACCCTGCCACCTAAGAGTCTAAGAGCCTTCAGATATCCTAATTATCTTTATACTCCTAGCATCTAGATTCATGCCTAGCAGAGGTGATACTTAATATTTGCCAAATAAATGAAATAGCTATATTAAACTATCTATTCTGTCCTTGATATTAAAAAATGAAGTGGTATCTTTATAATATTTATAAATAATTCCAATTTAGATTTTTATGTGTTGTTCAATAAAAGACTGTCATAGTCAAGAAACCAGCCACTCTTTCACCACTGAGCTAACCAACAGGACAGTTACAATCCTGGTATTGATATTCATGGAAGAATCTAGTTCTCTCACAATTACAAGATGAAAAAAGTACTGTATGCTCTGTGCTCAGCTAAACAAACTACCCACTCCCACAAAAAAAAGTTTTCAGGAACACTATAAAATTTACTTATGTATTTCAAATTACTAAAGGTACTTTTATCTTTAAAACTGGCTCTTCTGTGTTTTGGAATAAAAGAGCTGGTTAAGAGATCCTCTGAAACCTTAGCCAATATAAGACCAGATGCAAATACTTTGTCTTAACGTATGAATTTAAAAGCCTTTTTAAAAAAAAATACAGAAAATAAAATGTGTTTTGTTTTTCCCATAACTTACATCTATTACTTTTTAAATAACAAAACAAGCAATACATGTTATTTTTAAAAGAACGTATTTTCTATTATACCATTCAGTTAGCATTAGGGATTGCTCAACATTTCACCTCTTAAGGACCTCATATCAAATTCTAACTTGAAGCACTAGGTGAAAATAACTTATTTTATCACCCTGACTCTCAAACTCTAAACTCCACCATAAGTGTCTTACTTTTTGCAATCACCAGAAACATCTGTTCTAAAAAAAAAATCTGTTCTTCGAGGGCTGAAATTGTAGAAAGCACTCAAAATCAGATCTTATTTCAGTGTGTGCAGAACTAACTGCCCAAAGATCTACTTAATTCAACTACATGTACTTTGTTTTCACTAAGCTTTAAGTCTCCTGGTTGCTTTAAGTGAATTTGGTAGCCTTAAAAAAAATAAAAAAATAAAAAATTCTGTGGATCATATATCTTTTTTTCCATTGCAGAAGGCCAGTTAACTATTTTACCTTCATGGATACAACAGATGTATCATGCTACTATAATAAATAATAGGAATAAATAGGTCTGCCTATTAGCAGATCCTGGCAAGTAGCAGCTGCTTGATGTATATGAACAATATCATCTTCTTCCCATCTGGAAGGTCCCAATTCCTTGTTAATTTTCTCCCATCAAGGTTATTTCTATTATTGAGGCAGAAGCTGTTCATTGTCATTTCCATGTTATATTCATTTATGGTAAATATGGAGTAGTTGCTCTGTTCTGGTCATGAAGGAAAGGTCTGCCCTTGGCCTGAAGCTGCTCTCCCTCAAAAAATAAAATAAAGTATTACCTGATACAAGAATAAGGGATTCCATAATTATACCCCGACACATGAGAGACTCTTTGAATAATGGGAATATCACAATCCCCCGGTACTGGAGAAAAATGACTTGATGAAAAGAGTGGAGTGTTCATTTTTGTTTGCACATAGGAATCAGCAGCTGTGGCATTAAGAATTCTTGTTTTTTCATGGTATTGGGAATCATCTGATAGCATGTGCTCCAGCACTTTTAGGCAACTGGGCTTCTGTTCATTTGCAGAGAAATCTGATAAATTGCACATTTCAAAGCCACTGTTGCTGGCAGTTCTGTCTTTGCTGCCAACAGGAGAATCAAAATGCAGTTGCCTGCAAGGGCCAGACCTGGATTTCTGAGGCCTGATGTACAGGCTGCTTGTCTGAAGAGGATGCTCTGGGCTACTGACTGCTTTATCTTCTTCCTGCATAATCTTAATAATTTTGATAAGTTGGAAGAGACGTTTGCGGTCATTCATGTTATGGACTCCCAATCTGGAGTAGTCCTTCATTGTAACTTTGGCTAATTCATCTATTTTCCGAAGGCCAAGAGCAGTAAAATAAGGATAATACTGTGCAAGTTCAGCTTCACAAAGACATTCATACAACCAGGATGCCATTTTTGTGAGTAGATTTCTATAAACTCTGAAGAGAAAAAGAAAAGTCATTCAATTGAAATATGACATTCATTATACAATTATTGCTTTTTAAAAATGAAAACCACGTACAAACATGCAGAAAAATCTGTTTTATCATACCATGTTTTCAATAAATATAATTTTCTTCTGAAATGATTGATTAAACAGCATAGCGCATAAGCAAAGATGCTTGGTAGAGCATATGAAAAATTTGTCAAAAAAGATTTAACTTGTTGATCTGCTTAATAAAAAGACCTTCAGTTTTATACGTACATGGGTACACATACACACACGACACAAATCACTTACTTATTTCTAAGGAGTTCGTTTCAATCTTGTATCATCCACCTAACACATGCTGCAAACTAATGAAACCTTGTTCCCAACCACTGATTGTAGTAGGACTAATTTTAGATGTTCAACTTAATGTCAAGGCATGTCACACAACTGTTTCCCATGATTAATGAACAAAGGCTAAGAGTTCTTTCAGAACGGAAAGCTGAATTACATAGCAGACCATGGAGAATTATAAACTAACACCTCAGAGGAAATAACATTTTTATCTGCTGAGTACTAACAAAAATTTGTTGAATAAAGAGGTAAAAACATCATTAATTCACAATCTACTAATTCAGGTTTCAGATCATTCCAAAAGGTGGTTGTAGTATTTACCTTTCCAAAATACGGATTAAAAAATTTACCTAGGAAATTAATACTATAGTCAGGATTTTAAATGGTATATATTAAAATGCTTTAAAAAATTTAACACAGAGATATTTAATTAAATACTAACAATTGATGAGGTAAAACACATAACCCTGGTCTATTCATTACAGCCAAGACCCTGAGGATTTCTCCAAATCACTGTCAACTTAGTTCAAGTTCATGAGGATATTCAAAAGTAAGTTAAACTATATATATATTTAAAAAATGTTCTGTAATTCAAAGTTTTCAAAATTCATTTAGTTGATTCTTGGTAAAGCTTTCCTGTTTTTCATTTTAATATATATTTTCTCTGCATTTTATAAGAAACAGAGAAAGCATTCAGGGCAGGGTAATAAAGATGATTAAAGGACCTCATTCAACTAATTTTGGAGGAAATACTATTTAGACTAAAGAAAAGGCCAATGGAGTTGAGTAATACATCCTAAACTCATCTTGCCCTTTTATATTTGTGGTAAATTTTTTAAAAAGGCCACAAATTCTTTGCAGGTCCTTCCATTAATAGGTGGAGTCTCTTTCTCCTCTTGAATCTAGCCTGCACTTGTGACTTGTTTTGGCCAAAAGAATGTGGTGGAAGTGACACTATGTGACTTCTGTGTCTAGGCCTCAAGAGCCCATGCAGCTTCACCGTTGTTCTCTTATAACTCTTCTCTGTCATGTGAAGAAACTCAGCAAACAGCCATTACCAAAGCCAGTCATGTGAGAGAGGCCATCACAGACCAGTTAGCCCCAAATGGAGTCCCCAGATGACTGCAGCCACATGAGAGTCCCAAATGGGACCTAGATAAGCCCAGCCCAAAAATCTGATTCACAGAATTGTGAGCAAATAAAATGGTCAATGTTTTAAGCCATTAAACTTTGGAGTAGTTTGCTACACATCAGTGGAGAACTACAATACACCTGTGCCTTGTAAAATGCTGGTACTTTTGCCTGAATGTTCCCAACTCCCCTCTGTCTACTAAAATGAGTTATGTCCATCCTTTCAAAATAGCTCAAGAACATTCCCCTCAGTGAAGACTTCTCTCATCTTTCACCCTCTTCTCCTACAATTTCATCACCAGACAACCTATGCAGCAGCTAAACCAGCCACCAATCCCTTTGATATTGTTTCCTCTATTTGGAATACTTGTCTATTCTGAAAAAAACTCTATTTATATATATATTTTTTTTTCTGTGAGGTGTGCCCTAGCAGGGGATAACTGGTCTTTCCTTTGCGCTTCAGTAATAATAATAGCAGCTAGTATTTATTGAGCACTTAACTACACACCAGGCACTGTTCTAAGCACTATTTGTTAACCTCCAACACCCTAAGAGGTTAAGTGTGTGACCTTCAGCAAGTTACTTATTTACTATCTTTGAAACTCATTTTTTTTTCAACTGTAAAATGGGGATGTAATAGTCCCTAAAGTTCACAGGCTTAAGATTCAATAAGAAAATACTTGTCAAACTCTCAGCACAATGTCTGGTACACACTTAGTGCCCAATAAGTGTTGGTAGTTTTTACTACAACTACTGTTATTTCTGTATTACCACTGTCTCCACAACCTAAGAGAGAATAAGCACTCAGTGTTTTGGTTTATTTCTGAGCTATATTTCCTACTTGACTCAGCCTAATCCAGGGGAACAGGTTCTAAGTGCAATGCACACTTCTCAACTTCCACAGGCTTTACAAGATCCTGTATTTTCCACACTCACCCCCTTGGTGACATTCCAAATATTTCCCAATCCAACTCTGATAACCATGGCCTTTGTTGCATTCCTTAATTACAACCTGAAGAACTAACATATTCTTGCAATGACTGAATATTCTATAGCATCCTGGGAGGGAAGGATGCCTGAGATAGAAGCAATCTAGACGTGCAGGTTAAAGCAGCCTCCAGTACTTGTCTATACAAGTTGGCAGTATGCCACCTTTCCTGGCCCTTCAGTTAGCTGATGTACAATTCTGCTGCTGCTGTTATCTTTGCTGCACCTTTAAGCGTTATCAGCACTGTTCTTTTGTTTTAAAAGTAGATATGCTTCTTTGTACCACATTCCATTTTACAAAGGTCTAGTCTCTCCTCTTCTTCTTGGGTAAACATCAGAATCACTCTAGGAGCTTTAAAAAATATAGATACTTAAGCCCTATCCCAAACTCATAGAAAAACAAAAAACACAAATCCTCCTAGGTTTAGGGTGGTACTGAGTTTCAGTTTGGGGAGATGAAAAACTTCTGGAAACTGATAGTGGTGATGGTTGCACAACATGGTGAATGCAATTACTGTTGTTCAACTGTACACTTAAAAATGGTTAAAATGACAAATTTTTTGTTAAAATATATATATATTTTACCACAATTAAAAAAAAAAATCCATGACACCTGCTTATGTGGCTATGGAGCCATTTTCTCTGAGTTTCCTAACTTACAAGTCCCATCACCCAAACTAATGAAGACATCCTTAGGGTCCTTACAACCTAAAAGAGCCTAATATATATAGTGTTCTTCCCAACCTCACCCTGAACATTTCATATAATTCAACATTTTATATAACAAGGTTAATTCCATTATTCATAGATAATCCAGTCATTACTACTTTGATGATCTGATTTAACTAAAATTTACTGAGTTTTATTTTATGCCAGGAACTATACTATGTGCTTTATGTAAACTATTTTTATTTAATCTGGTTAAACCAGAATTCCTTTTACAAATTCCTACAGTGAAGCTGTAAAGATAAAAACAAACTAAACCAAACCTGTTGCCATCAAGTCGATTCTGACTCGTAGTGGCCCTACAGGACAGAGCAGAAAGCCCCACAGGGTTTCCAAGAGTGGCTGGTGGATTCAAACAGCTGACCTTTTGATTATGAGCTGAGCTCTTAACCACTGCGCCACCGAGATCCAAAGTAAAGATGTTGTTGTTGTTAGGTGCTGTTGAGTCGGTTCCGACTCATAGCAACCGTATGCACAACAGAACGAAACACTGCTGAGTCCTGTGCCATCCTCACAATCCTTGTTATGCTTAAGCCCTGTTGCAGCCACTTTGTCAATCCATCTCATTGAGGGTCTTCCTCTTTTTTGCTGACCCTCTACTTTACCAAGCATAATGTCCTTCTTCAGGGACTGATCCCTCCTGACAACATGTCCAAAGTATGTGAGACGTAGTCTTGGCCATCCTTGCTTCTAAGGAGCATTCTGGCTGTACTTCTTCCATGACAGATTTGTTCATTCTTTTGGCAGTCTATGGTATATTCAATATTATCCAACACCACATTTCAAAGGCATCAATTCTTCTTCCGTCTTCTTTACTCATTGTCCAGCTTTCACACGCATAAGAGGTGACTGAAAACACCATGTCTTGGTTCAGGCACACCTTAGTCTTCAAGGTGACATCTTTGCTTTTCAACACTTTAAAGAGGTCTTGTGCAGCAGATCTGCCCAATGCAATGCACCTTTTGATTTCTTGACTGCCGCTTCCATGCGTGTTGATTAAAGTAAATACAGCGTTTGTTTACTGGTTGTCATTGTAGATAGACAATTTCAATGTAAGTTAATATCTTAATGTTTCATTAAGAATCTTAAATGCATACTGCTAAGTGAAAGAAGCCAATAGCTACTTACTGTGTGATTCCAACTATATGATATTCCTGAAGAGTTAAAACTATAGAGATGGTGAAAAGATCAGTAGTTGCCAGGGGTTCAGGGGGAGGGATGAATAGATGGAGCACAGAACATTTTTCAGGGCAGTGCAACTATTCCGTATGATATGGTAATGGTAGACACATTACATGAAACATTTGTCAAAACCCACAGTAGTGTACAATACAAAGAGTGAATGCTAATGTAAACTATGTTGTTGTCTTAGGTGCCGTGGAGTTGGTTGCGACTCACAGTGACCCTATGTACACACAGAACAAAACACTGCCCCTTTCTGCACCATCCTCACAATCATCGTTATGCTTGAGGCCATTTCTTGACTGCTGCTTCCATGGGCGTTGATTGTGTATCCAAGTAAAATGAAATCCTTGACAACTTCAATCTTTTCTCTGTTTATCATGATGTTGCTTATTGGTTCAGTTGTGAGGATTTTTGTTTTCTTTATGTTGAGGTATAATCCATACTGAAGGGTGTGGTCTTTGAACTTCATCAGTAAGTGCTTGAAGTCCTCTTCACTTTCAGCAAGCAAGGTTGTGTCATTTGCATAACACAGGTTGTTAATGAGTCTTCCTCCAATCCTGATGCCCTATTCTTCTTCATATTGTCCAGCTTCTCAGATTATTTGAATAAAAGGATTAAATA